TGATTCACTTAATGGTCATATTTATTCCTAGTGTCTGTTGACACCCCTCCCCCATGTAAGTTCTGTAAGAGTTGGATTTTTGTCAGTTTTGTTTGCTGATGTCCAGATGAATGGATGGAACATAGTGGGAACTCTATGAACATTTGTGGAATAAATAAAAGAATGAATAGTTCTCTGTCATCTGTCCTAAAGGTAAATACTTTCTGTCCTGTCCTGGGCTGAACTGTCACTAGGTCTGAGAATTTGAATACTTTATTTTTCTTGTCCTTAGAATGGGCATGAGAATACAACACTTTCACGGAGTTCTGAGCCTCCATTTCCTCATCTATAAAATGGGGTTCTATCTACCTCGTGTGATTTTTGTGATGTTTAAATAAATTACCTATGTGACGTGCTTAGCACAATATCTGGAACAAAGAAGATAATACACATTAAACTTAAATGATCAATAACTTAAAGAAGGAAGCGGGGGCAGTGGGATGTTTCGACTGGTGCCCAGGAGGAAGGGGCCCTTGCAGAGCCTCTCGAAGCAGCCAATGGGCGGCCGCTGGCGCCAGGGGGCAGGGGGCCTGAGAGGGAGTGAGGTTTCTAAGTGTCCACCTGGTGCATAGGAGAACTGAGGCTGGCCTGACCTCAGCCCGCAGGCAGCGTTTACCTGATCAGCTGCGGAAGAGTGGGCAGTGGAATGAATTCTCCCTCATACACAAAGACAGGAGCCTTTCCTGAAGGTCTGTGCTGGACTCTCATACAGACACCATGAAACCACTTTGAAGGACTGCCGTGACCTTGACAATCACAAGTTGAGAAATGATACCGAAGGCTACAGCAGCACTGCTCTGCAACTCAGACCCTCAACCCCTTCAGCCCTTCATGCCACTCATAGTTGAACGGCCACCCAGGAGACCCTTCTCTGCCCTTTGTCTACCCATATCCTCCTCATCCTTCAGTGTCTTCTCACCACTGCCTCCTCCAAGAAGGCTGCCAGGATAGCACAAACCTAACCCCTTCCTCTGACTCCCCTGGCATCATCTGCAGGGCTATCTGTGCCTCCTTGTCTGCCTTACACTGCTTTTTCCGCATCAGATCTCTCATATCCTGCTGGTTTTAAGTTCCCTGAGGGCCAGGACCTGCTCTTTGCTGCTTGCTCTCCCTTCCTGCCCCATGGAGGGTCCCTTCAGTGGTGGGGCGAGGGTGTCAGGCGCCCCCAGGAGTGCTGAGGGGAATGAAGAAAAGCAAATCAAAGAAAAGCTGCCCCCATTATAGACCAAGCCATTCTTCCCTGTGACTCAGGTTCTGCTCTCTTCAGGGGAAGACAAACAACAGCAAGAGTGCCAGGCGCTGCTGTGGGGGCTTTATTTCGCTGACATTTCACAACGGGCCTTTGAAGGAGCAGGTCTCATGACCACCACATCATAAATGCGGCGACGGGCTCAGCAACGTAGTTACCTGGCCACGGTGAAAGCGCTGAAGCCAAAGCTGGCTTGCTGCGGACTCCCCAAGCCACGCCGGTGGGTTCTTCTGGGAACAGCTCAGAAGCTGTAGAGGGGAGGCTTAGCTGCTCCCCCACAGCTGCACAGAGCACATTATGACACGTGGGCAGACGTTTATTAGCAAGTAGGCACAGTGGAGTCTACGGACATTGTGCAAGTTCTCTGGAGTTGCCGCTGTCTGTCGGTTCATTGTTTACGAGAGTCCCTCGCAGGGAAGGTCCTCAAGGCAAAGGACACCCTGTTCCGGCCCCAGGATCAGCCTGTCCATGGGAGTTAGGCAACCAAGACGCCTCCGAGGTAGCAAAGAGGCAGGCAGCTTACAGAGCCAGCCTAAGGGGCCATCTTCATGGGTGAGAGACAAAGATCACCCCAGGCTTGGGGTAATTCTTTATTGAGAAGTGCGTGGATCTAAGGGTACAGCTCAATGAGTTATCGCAAAGTGAACACACCTTTTTGCCAGGTCCCAGCTCAGAAAACAAAGCCAGCACCCCACAAGCCCTTTGGTGCCCCTGAAGTCACCTCCTCTCCTCCCCAAAAGGCAACCACTGGCCTGATTTCAAATAGCATGAATGGTCTGTTTTTAGACTTGATATACATGGGATCATACACTCTGGACTATTCCTTTGTTCCTAGTGCCTTAAATTCAACATTACGTAGTGCGATTCATCTATTGCGTGTCATTGTAAATCATTCATTCTCATGGTTCCATAGGGCTTTATGGGCAGAGATATTTCACCTTTCCCCATTCTATAGTCGCTGCTTTTCTGCTGAGTCCAGGGTGTGCGCATTTCACTTTGATAGATACTACTCAAGTTTTTCAAAGTGGTTGTACCATTTTATACTCAAACCTGAACCACTGAAAGTTCTGATTGTTTCATACCCTCAGTAAAACTTGCTCTGTCTGCCTTTTTGATTTGTCATTCTGGTGGGTTTGAAATGCTACTGCAGTTTGATTTCAATTTACATTTCCCTGACTTCTAGGGAAGTTGAAGACTCTCTAGGTCATACATACCGTGTGTTTTTTTAAATGTGGAGGTTTGTCTTAAAATATCTTTGCCAATCTACTTATCTCAAACACCCTTAGTATCACCTTTCTGGTGTCCTTTATGCTAATTAACATGCCACCATTTTCCTTGAGGAAATCTTTCCTAGAATTCTTTATGCTAATAACAAAGCCTCCAAGTGTTGATAGCTGATAAAAGAAAGCTGAAGCAACTGGTAGTAGCCTTCTGAGTGAACGCTGTCTGTTCATTCGATCAGCTGGCTGTCCCTCCCTAGAGCGTGTAATCTCAGGACAGCCAACCACCCTACAGGTTTGGCTTAACATGAACATGTCGCAAATGTGGTATCATGATCTAGGCTAAAGGACTTTAAAGTGAAAACAGAATTTATATTGTGGCCCCTAAGCCTTCTTTCCAATTTGTCTCTTTGCCACTGGAAGCACTATGACCACACAGGCCTCCCGGTGCAGTAATTTTATCACAGGGGCATTTTCAGGCGGCTGGGAGCCCAAGCGCCGGCCTGTATTTGGCACAAGGAAATAGAGGAGGGGCTGTCTTCCCATAGGTCCCCACTGCAAGAACTCCATCGGACATGTGTTTCTCAAGTCAGGGGCACAGCCACACAGACAGGCCTTCCTACAGCGGCTCTGGAGCCATCTGACCCCTGGCAGGAATCAGCGGCCATGGCTCCCCTGGAGCAGACCTGCCAGCGCTTGCCGTGTGGTGGAGGTGGGGGAGAAGTTCCAAAACAGGAGCACTAACTGCCAAGCGGCCTTTCTTCGGGCTTCAGTGTGATCTGTGGAGCACATGGATCTGGGAGGACGAGTTCTCTCATCCCCAGGACTTTGGAGCTGTGGAGCCTCCAGGCTGCGAGGCGAGAGAGGTAGAGATTGGTCATATCTCCCTCGGCGAAATGCCTGGAGATGTCTACTGGCCTTCCTGAGACAACTCCTTTTAATTTGTTACCCTTGATTCTTATTTAAATTCATAGTAAGACAGACACACTCATGGGAATCTTGATTCTCCTGGAGCAGTTCCTTCCCTAGAAACAGCTGCCTGATCAGAGAGGAAAATATGTAGTAAATACAACTTTCTTCTTGGGGTGGGCCTGAGGTCCACGCTTCCATCTTGAGTTAGGCAGGCGATGTTGCTGAGAGGGAGAAACTGTGAGAGGAAAGTACTTTCAAGGATGATATACATACCAAAGTCACTGGCGGGCTTATGAAGAAGTGACTTTGTAGCCTGACAAGTGAGGTCATCCCCATCTTAGAATGACACATAGTAAACATGCAATCTTTCCCGTAACTCCTGAAGGAACAGGGAGTTTCAGTTAATTGAAATTTCTAGTGTATTCAAGTATACTTTAGAGTTTCAAATGTTCTTGAAAAATCCATGCAGGAGAAAGAAGAGGAGGAGCCTTGGAGAATCAGCACAGCATGAGTGCAGCGGAAGGAAGGGAGCCCCAGCGCGAGGAGGAGCTCAGACAGCCACCAACACTGGCTGAGTAGGAGAGCGGGGCACTAGCTTAGCCAGAAGCCCCACTGGCCAGCCTGCACTCCCCACCCAGCCTGGGAGGGGTCCTCAGACTGGAAGGAGTTTCTTGGACTCCAAAGGCCTGAAGTTCTAGTAGCAGAGACTGAGTCCTGAAGAGGCTTGACTGGGCATTGGTTGCAGGGAGATCCAGCATTCGCTTCTTGAGAAAGACAGAAACAAGGGTGCTGTGTGCTTTGCTTGCCCACATCCCGGCATGCCTGCCGAGACAGCCCAGCACCATGCCCAGTGCACTGAGGCCCGCGGTATCCACCCCTCTCATTGGCTGTCCCAGGAACACAGGGGCAAAGCGGGGGATGGCGGGGAGCGCAAGGGGAGTATGCAAATAAGATTATTAGCCTCCTTTGTGCATCTTCAAATAATGAGGGAAAAGCTGAAAGTATGTCCAAGTTTTCAAATTTTGGAATCTCTCATGTACAAAAGGTGAAAAGCATCATTAGTGCCACCTTGCCACTCACAGGAAGGTAGAAATGTTCACGGGGACTGAGAAATAAGATTTAACATTATTGTATTTATTAGGTTCTGAAACAATACACATTCACATCCTTTTGAATACAGTACATTTGGCACAATAATGTTTACAATGAAATAACACTAATGAATGGCAAGAGATTAAAATTACATCCAGAAAGAAAAAAAATGTACAAATAAAGCATCACAATACAAAAAACAAATCCCTAAAATTGAATACATTTTCTATTTAGCCAGAATTATTTTGCACATAATTTAAAAAGAGGTAATTTTTTAAGCCTTCTTTTTTATTTAAAGCAAGAACGCATTTTTTCACCTTTGGAGGAAAATGTGTTTCCACTTCACAAGGTTTCTCACTTCCATAATGAGAGAACACAGGAGGACAGCTACCCTTCATATATTGTTTTGGCTTTTTTTTCCCCCACACTCCTTTTTTTTTTCTTAAACAAACAAACAAACAAAAAAAAGACAGAGAGAGAGAAAGAGAGACCTGGAAAGATTAGAAAGGACCAGCAGAAATGTAACAGTGTGTCCACTTCCAAAATCTTGTGAAAACTAAAGTGAAACAATGAATACTCAAGGAACACACCAGCTTTTTTCTATAGACTACATGGGGCTTGAATCGGCCAGTGGGAGAACTTACCAGCTCCAGCCCCCAGGAGGAGGTGTCCCAGCAAGTGTGGAGCTTCGGGTACTGACAAGGGTGTCTCTGGGCCAGGCGACCTATTGACTGACTACCTGGAGCTGCCGGGTGGAATGCATTATTATTTGACCTTCCAGCCAAAACGCCAGTCGTCCTGCTGGAAGGGCCCCACCCCCGCCGACATGGGAACACCACCAAGCCCTTGGACAAAGCCATTTGGCATTGTAGTCAGAGCTTGCTTGGTTGTTCCGAGTTCATCCTGGTGAAGGAAGCAGAGAAAGAGAGAGCAGTAGTGATGCATGAGTATGATGGGCAGTCTTGTTATGCCTTCCTAAAAAATGAGATGATGCCACCGTGAAGATGTTTCTGTGCTTGTACTCAACTCCAGAAGATAGCCTCTCCCTAGTACGTCAAGTTACCGAAGATAAATTAAATTAATCTACTGTTCTTCATCACTTCACTGGTATGCCAAACACACAAATTGATATAGCATAATGTTTGAAATTATCATAAGAACAGATAATAATTACACCTGAGTTTTTAAAAAATAAAAACAAGAGAGAACTGAATGTCACCATTAGTAACAAAGGCTATGACCAGCCAGGTGCAAATATGGACACCAACTCCCTGTGAGCTCGAGCGAGTTACTATCCAAGCTTTGACACCACCATCAAAAAACATTCCTTTCCCTTCCCCATCTCTATCAGGGCATAATAGAGCACAGGAGAACTATATGTGAGATTTAATATAGCTTAATATATGTTTACATCTTTTAAAACAAACCAAAATGCAATAAACAATACAAAGGAGCCCCCCCTCCCGCAAAGAAATAAACACACCTTATCTCTCAATAACTTGAACCAATACACATACAGAGTATTGCACCTGGACATTATTAGAATTATTCTTTCATAGACTAAAGTTTTATAATATGCCTGAACATGCAGCAGTTGATACCTCTAAATTCAATGAATTAATTCCACAGGCCTTGCAGCAAACACTATATACAAAAATCTCAAATGTACAAAAGGCAAAAAGCTTCATTAGTGCCACTTTGCCACTCACAAGGAGATATATTTAGGGACAGCTGGGAAATCCACGTGCAACGGTTGGAATGGATTCCATTCCCTGCTGAATCAGTTCAGGAAAATAGATAATCCAATGACCTCCGGGAAACATTTACACAAAGCCACAGAGAACCCTTGGGAATCAAAGAATGTAACACTGTCAGCGTATCTACAGGAGGTAACATCGCATCTGTGAAATAGTGTCCACATGAGTTGCTTTTACACGCCACACAGAAACAAGCCTCTGAGCCTGTCTTGCCACACTGTCGGTTTTCAAGCAAGGTGCTTTTCAGTCTCTTGACACCCTCTGCAGAACCCACGTTTAACCTCATTCTGCTTGTTCCAAAGGCAGATATTTCATATTCCACTTTACATGTTTAATGTTTAAAAACCACAACACAGTAGTACTACCATTTTGTAGAAGTGCGCAAAAATAACACACTGCTGCAGAAAATAAATAGAGTTTTTACTGGGAACTTAGGACAAAACTGGAAAGAGAATTTGGGAGCCGAGTTGTGCTGGTGCCCCAGGGTCTTGGCCATCAGTGCGGAGACCTTTGTGTTCAGCCAGACTTTAATAGTGAGGATAACTACTTGTATCCTTTCCTTTCAATTCGTCCAGCCCCTACATGCCGCTAACGCATTAGGAGCATAACTCATGGACAATTGGTTTCTTGTTGCATATTAGCCCTTTAATATCGATCTGTATTAATAATAGAATTTATATCTCTTGGCCAATTAGCAAATTTGAGGATATATTTTTCAAATGTTAATAGAGTCCAAAGTCAAATTTCTTTTTCTACAAGGAGTGATTTCTTCCACGAGATACATGCTTCCACAACTTTGGCATGCTCCAAGCCAAACCCAGAGCAAGCAAGAATTAGCCATTCCAGACAAACCAACACAGGCAGCCAACCTGTGCATCTCCCAGTCTCTGTCCTTCATAGGCACGCCTCGAGGGTGCCCACCCTCATGCTGAAGAAGCACGGTCTCTTCTGGACAGAAGGGCAGAGGGACGTCAGGTGAACGGATTGGACGGACGAGAAGCACGAGTCGTTGAAACTCTATGTCCAATAGCAGAGACTGAGTCTTCCTGTTTGCTTTTTAAATTTTCCTTCGCAGTCAAAGAACTGAAGTTGCTTCACTGCCAGGAGCCCCCGAGAAGTGGAAACAGGCTTGCCCAGACCAAACCCAGCAACGTGTCCAGCCAGCTGCTGACCCGACCCGATTCTGCTCCAGTGGTGAGTCAAGAACCAAGAGTGCTTTCTGGTCACCAGGCGGAAGGAAGGAGGAGCTGGCCTGGGGTAAGGGAATGCAATAAATAGAGTGGACAGGGATTGGGGCTCCGGGGAGGAAAAGTAGTTCAAGACCCTCTGAGCCTCTGGAAAACAGCAACCTTCTCAGGATCCCTTCTTGCAGCATCACCAAACTCCACCTGGAGGGACCTCTCAGGGCATCAGGTCTTCCCCAAAGTAGGAGAAGCCTTTGAATTCCTCCTGGTTGATCTGCTTCACAATTGCCTCATCCACAAGCGTGAGCACTGGCTCTTCCCGGGTAAAGTCTTGGTCAAAGTTATTGACGTCTCTTTTGGTTTTCTGTGAGAAGAAAAGAGAAAGCACTGACTCCAGGCTGACCTCGCTCCCCAGGGCCCCCCACAGGGAGTGAGCATCACGCTGCCCAGCCTCTCGCCAAAGCAGGCCGCTAGCTACTGAGAGCAGACATAGAGCTGTTCCAATGAGGTCATGACGGATGGCCCCAGGATGAGGAGGTGGCAGAGGACTTGGAGAGGAAAAAATGAGTTCAGGTGAGAAGGAAGAAGGGGTGAGAGGGTATGATGGAAAAGCAGGGAAGTGGGATTCCCACAGACTGTGTGTGCATGTGTGTGCTTGTGCGTTGTGTATGTGTGTTTGGGAGAGTGGGGTGCATAGCTCCCATCTCACACTCTCCCTTCCAGCGTCTACCCTGACGCTCTGGCTCCATCCAATCTCCTTGTGACCCTGGGAATAAACCCACATCCCCCCTTCGACAAAGTCTCCAGTGCCCTTTCTCCCCCCACAGGTAGACCCCATAACCTTGCTGTGTCTGCTCCATATGACGCCCTCCCTACGGTAGGCACATGGGGAGATGGTGGGAATGTTTTCTGGGAAACCTGCCTTGATCTCTATCTGCTCTCACCATGAACCTGATTTTGTGCTCCCACATTATTTCTATCATGACACTCAACGCTCTAGTTTGCAATGAATTGTTTATGCTTTTCTCTCGACCAAGACCTTGTCTTATTCAGCCTTGGGTTCCCAGGTATGAATGTGTACTGAATAACTGAACGTGCAGATAAACCCACCCCTGACTGCCCAGTTCAGAAGGACCTATCCCCAGTTGGAGGTTCAAGTTCCCAAAGTAGGGCTTGTGGCAATCAAATACATCCTGGTTTGGGGGGGAAATCGGGAAGTGTAAGCCCAGTAGGGGCTTACAGTTGAGTTGGGAGATAGTATTCCTGTCTGGAATAGCCTGCAATTAGAAAAACTTGCACGGAGAAATGGGAGCTTGGCTGAGACTTGAAGACTGAGTTACAATCATGTTGGTAGAGATGGGAGAAAGGCACCTTGTTAGGAAGAAACATGGGCTAAAGGCCCATTGGACCTTTACATGGGACAGGAACACGAAAGATGTATACACCGGACAATGGGTCGCCGCGCTGCCTGGGGCAGAGTCCAGCGTGAGGACGGCAGGAGGTCAGAATGGAGTCCGACTGCAGAGGCCTTCAATGCTAGGTCCTCTGTCCCCCACAGTACACAGCACGGTGCTGAGAAGATTGAGAGGCCCCTGGCAAGAGTTTTTTAGACAGAGATTAACTGGTATTACCCAGGATTAGTGACCCAGATGATGGGATAAATCTTGTGGAAAGATTAGCATTATTATTTGCCTGAGGAATAATATTAATAGATGCTATGTTCTGTGGAAGCCAGTGATCTCAAAGATGTTAATAAGTAGTCTATGAAAAAAGCGGTTTTGAGATAAAGCTTTATGTAGCACCCTTCTCTCGGATATTTGCCATGCACCTCGACAAATTAAAGGCTCTGAGAGGTCCGAGAGTCAAGAAACCCAAGCTCACGTTTTCAGGCCAGCTTTCCCCACACTTGGCATACTTTTGTTTTCCTGAATAGTTTATTAATATTTCTCCCTGAAGCAGAGCTCTGCAGAACCAGGTTTGGGAAATTCACCCTTTACAAAGCAGCTTCACATTCATTTGCTCATTTGATCCTTGGAACAGGTTATTATTGTCCCGATGGCACAGATGAGGACCCTATAGTTCACAGAGGTTTGGTGAACTACGGAGTCACCCAAATAGTTAAGGACAGAGTTGCCCAACTAGTTAAGGGCAGAGCTTGATTCAAATCCAGGTCCCAGCAGGATGCCTCCCGTGGTACAGAATGTCTGGAAAGTGGGACACTGGAGAAATGGGGAGACACAGGAAGGGTCAAATTCAATCAGACGTTTAGGTAAAGCCACCAAGCTACAATAGAGCCAGGAAGGCTTGCCAGCAGACCGGCAGAGTGGCACAGGGCTGTGGGTTGAGGAGAGAGGGCATGATGTGGACTGGGTGAGCTCAGTGGGGGAGTCTGTTTTCAAACTGTCCTAGACGGAAGTCAGAATCAGATGGACCGCATGGAGCAGGGATGAGAGAATCTTCCCAAACCCATCAGTGCCAGTTGGCATCTTCTCCCTGGACTTGAGCTGCATAGAAGGTAGGTCTCAGAGACCTTGGATGGGAGAAAGGAGGGAGACACAGAAAATGTGAGGGATGGAAATAGAGCCTGAAGCTGAAGAAAGTACGTGTTGCCCTTGAACTGGGAAAGCCTCGTGCTTCGTCATCTCTAGCAGGAGGGCTATCTGTTTTCCATCTCCAGTGTGTACAGAGCATGAGGAAAATGGGGGACCTGCATGGAGACTGACTTCAAAGAAGAACATCAAAGCCCGTCCCCACAGTGACGCATGTCAGTCATGGGAAGGCTGGTGCCTGGGGAAAGATGAGCTGGAGCCTCTCCTGTAGATCTCTATCAGAGGAGGGACCGGTGCGCTTTGACTGAGGAGGGCTTACAGAGTATGCACCTATGAAGGTGGGTTAAGTGAGTCCAGAAGGGGGGTGGGATGGGGAGAAGGTGGCGGTGACTTGGGAAGCAGTAGGGGTCATCCCGGAAGGTGACCATGGGGCATCCTCAATGGGGGCAGGAGGGCAAACGGGGCCGACAGGTCAGAGGGGCAGGAGTTGATGAAGAAGAGGGGCCATGGGACAGGGCAGGAGGAAAACTCAACACAACATCACCAAGGGTGGACCCTGCCCAGGTCTCCTGTGCTTTCAGGGGCAGGACCACCTCTCTGCTGGTTCCCTCCCACTGGTCAGTGGCGGGGGGCAGTGATGTGTGCATGGAGAACCTCAGGGGACCTGCCAGCGCTCTGGCATTGGCGTTCCATGATTATCTGCTGTGTGTGCTTCACCTTTCAGCCACTTGTGTCTATTAGTCATGGAAACTGGTTTTGTTTCCTGAGCATTGGCGACAGACCTAGATCCCACATTATGTGTGAGCTTCACCACTCCCTGATTGTGTACTGGGAATCAGACTCAGGCAACCCAGGGAGGAATGTCCTTTTCTGAGGACCTCTAGCTCCCTGGCGGGCTGGCTTGGGGAGCCATCTAGCTCAGCTCTGGGATTTCCAGGCATCTCAGACCTTCTGTGGTATGTGAGTGAGTGTACCATTCCTTAAGAACTCTGCCGGAAAACATACTTGGCTCACCCACCTGCTTCTGCGACCGGGCCCAGGCCCTGTTTTCCCTGGACATTTTAGGCACATGTCAGTTACTCATTTCCAATTCAAGTAGCCAGCGTCCCTACTGTGTGTGATTCTTGATAATTAACGGTGGAGACCTGGGAAGTTTTCCAAAGCAATTATCTCTGGGAAACATCACTGCTGTTAATAGCAAGTATGCAGCATAGCATCCTCACATTGGATGAGGACTGGGGATTATAGCCTTCACTCACTGATTTTATTCTTTGAAAAGCTACTGCCTCCATCAGAGGCTTAAGACTGGACTCCGAGGTTCCAATGGGCAAACTCCCAGGGACACTTCCTGTTCACCTAGCTCTCCAGTTACCTCAGATGCCTCCCCTAATGTCTAAGGCAGACTCTTAGCCCACACTGCACAGCCTGAGAGGTGACGCTGGGACACGTGGAACAACCCTAACTCTCCAAACCCTATCTCCTCCTTGAAGCCCTCTCCCATCCCTTGGCCCACACAGAGGGGGCACTGCACAGGGGAGGCAAAAGGGCACTGGCTGACCTCTCCGTACTATCCCTTCCTGGTTATGTGACCCTGTGAAGTCACTCTTTGAGCCTTGGTTTTTTTCATCTGTACAAGGCAGGTGGCAACAGATGCCTAAGTGAGGGCTAAATGAGACACCAGACATTAGGTGCCTCAGTGCCGCCAATCCATGATAGGCACCCAATAAATGTGAGTTCCTACTTTGCTTCTGAGTCGTAGCACTTGTGTGCCATAGGCACGCACCACGCACAGCTCGGCTGGGTTGCCTAGCAGTCTGGGCGCTCGGCCCGGCAAGGTCACAAGCTTCTTGGAGATGCAGACTAAGCCTTACACTTCTGTGCATGCCTCCAAATCCTGAGCTAGGGCTGAGTGGGGGTCTGCCTAAACATTGAATGCTTCCTCCAGGGACTGAGTTCTTTGGGAAAAGCCCCAGGTTCTCATACACACTCACTTCTAAGACCCTTCAGCATCTCGTCCCTTCCTGCCTGCCCAGCTTCATCTTCCATAAAGTTCCCTGGACTCGCTGGCTCGCTCCTGCCTCCAAGCCTTGACCCAGCCAGTCCTCTGCCTGAGCACCAGCTCCCCTCCTTGTCACTGAGCCGACTTTGCTCACCTTTCCTATCTCAGCGGAGAGGCCCTTCCTTGTCCCTGCAGGCCTCTTATGAATGTCAATGATGGCTCCTAACCCTTAACACGGCACTCGGCACACTGGGTTCCCTCCTCTTCTCAACTAGTCTGTGAGCAACTTCGGGGCAGGGACCAGGCTGAACTCACCCTTTCATCCCCAGGCTAGCGCAATGCCTGGCACATAGTAAGTGCTCAGTAAATGTCTACTAAAAATATGAACCAATGCATCTCTCTTGCTGCTACTTCATCTAGAGCCAGAAAAGTGATCTCGGTTCCGAAGCAGTGGCAGCTGACCTGCCAGAGGGGTTTTCCATTTGTGGAAGAATGGGTGGAGTGAGGAGAAGGCTGCAGTCTGATTCACGAGGGCCTGCAGCGGGGAAGCCCAGACCCCTGCGGCCTCACAGGGCCTAGAGGAGCAGGCCTGGCTGGCGGGGTTCCCTCTCCTGGCAGCGGTCACCCTGGGCGCTCGGGCTCTCCGACTGCCATACAAGATAGAACGGGTTCGACCAGGGTTTGGGAAAACTGTATCAGGACAGATGAGTGAAGGGGAGTTGAGTGACCTGGTAGGTATGTCCCTAATCCTCGTGGTTGGGTTAAGGGAAAACTGGCATTCCTAATCCCTTTGGCACCTCTTCAGACATGAGGTCT